CGCACCACCGCCACCGCCCGCCCCGCCCGGAGGTCCCGCGTGGAGCCGCCGCCGCGGAGGAGGATGAAGGACAAACAGAAGAGGAAGAAGGAACGCACGTGGGCCGAGGCCGCGCGCCTGGTGAGACTGGCCGTGGAGGGGGCCTCCGTGGGGGTACGGGGGGTGGGCCCGCCGCGCACCCGCGCCGGGAGGGGGAGGGGCGAGGCCCAGCCCACAGCGGGAGGGGGCGGGACCGTCCTTGCTCTCCAATGGAGCCACCCCCTAAGGCGTCGGGTGGGGAGCGGTCCCCCGCCAGGATGGGATATGGCGCCTTTTTTGCACCCCCCCTCCGAATTCCTGCGGAGGGGCGAGCTGGCAGCCAGCTCCTCCCCCTACCCTTCCGCGCTGCGGGGCCCCAGTCTCCCCTCCCCCACCGCGGGCATAGGCTGGGGGTCTGGGGAAGCTGTGCTTAGTCACCTCGGGGAGTTTGGTTTCCGGAAAGGGTCGGAAGCGCGCGCCCCGTTCTTGGTAGTTAACTGGGTGATGCTCTCGATCCTGACGGTGGGAAACGGCCCCCAGTTTCAAGGACGCGAGCGCTATTTTGTGCTCCCCAATGTAAACCAGGTGTACCTGCAAGTGCTTCCTCTCTGCTTGAACCCTGAGTCGTGGCTTTCGAACTTTAGAGCCCTGGGGGCAGACACCTGGGGAGGTTGTTAAAAAATGTCTCCGGGGCTTTGCTTAGCACCTAACTAGAGTCTGAGATTCTGGGGTAGATAGAGCCTGAGAAACGGTATTTTAACCAGCTTCTCAGGTGGCCGTAATGCAGGTGGCTCGAGGAGTACAAGAGAAACGCCGGCTAGATTGTACAGCTTCATAGGCTAGACTGAAGGTAGGCGCTTTGCAAAGAACTGAATACACTTCGCAAAGAATGTTTGTTGGACAAAGTGTCTCTGTTCAGAGGTACTATTCACTGAGGGTTTAGCGAAAGGGAGAGTAACTTGAGTGCTTGAGCTGCCTGCTGAAGGATGTTGTGAATTTTCTGTTTTCAAAGCCTCACATGTCTCATAAGTGAAATTACTTTCCTTTTGGATTTGCACAGCAAAGCCAAGACACTCTTGAGAAGTATTCTTATAAAATGTTGCTGATGACATCAGTACCAGGTTTTACTTCTGTCGGTGATGTTTTCTCAACTGTCAGAGCATGATTCTGGTGTAGCTGGCATACATGTCTGTTGACACCCTGTAGTTTATATGTAATTGCTATAATTCACTTTTAATGAATGAAACTCACCTTTTTATTTTTCCTCTTACAGGGGAGTGAGTTTTCTGCCTCAAAGTGGTGTGCAAAAAAAGATGAATATGTGTGAGGGGTTGATAGAAATCTAGGGTACATCTATTTCATTTCTTTTTTTTTTTTTTTTTTTTTTTGGTGGTACCAGGGATTGAACTCAGGACCTTCTGCTTGCTAGGCAAGCACTTATTCTACTGAGCTATCTCCCCAGCCCCATCTATTTCATTTCTGGAGCTTGTAAAACTCAGTTACTGATTGACAAAACAGAAATTGATCTACAGAAAAATTTTCACTTTTGTTCCTAAGCATTTATTTCACTGGAAACAAATAGTAATTGTATGGTGAAGGTTTAGTTTTTTGATTGGTCATGTGAAAATGAAAGATTTTCTAAGTCCCCAAGTATTTTCTTCCCCCTGATCCAATCAAGATTGGAAGCTTTGACTAATTTCGGGACTTTGGAAATTTCATGATTTCTTCAGTGTTGCTTCACATGGAAATAAGCATTGATCTGAAGGGGAGAGTTGGAGACAGTCAAAAAGACTCATACTCTCCTTTGTCTCTTGAAAGTTAATTGAAATTCTCTTTTGAGTTCTTCATGCAGGTGTTCATGACTGGGCACCCAAAGGAAAGTTGCTTGTCAAAGTTGTACTTGGTAGGTAGGTTAAATCCTGTTACTTATGTTCTTACAATATTCAAAAATCTACTTGTCTCAAACTGTTGGTTCTTAGGAACTTGAAGTTCACTCTTTTAAGCCTTTTTTAAGTTCCTACATTTTTTGTGTCTGAACTTCAGTGTCTAGGTGTCTAGGTTGCTATTTCTGTTTTATTATTCCACCTTCAATCCAAATTATCCAACTGACTTATTTTTCTATTGTGTTTCTTCATTAAAAAAATGTGAATAGGAATTATTTTCTGGTGCAGTTATATATTTGAAAGACTTGTAGAAATGTGGTGTGTAAAGTTTCCATTCTTTCTCTCTTTTTTTTGCTCCGAATGCCTTCAGGGCATGATTGGCTGGCTTGAGTTGTGGGGATCGAACCACAGCAACCTGAGCCTGACTGCTTTGTTGAAGCAGCCACTTAAAGAACTGAGCTAAGGGGCAGGCCCCATCTTTTTTTTTTTTTTTTTTTTCTGGTGGTGGTGGTGGTGGAGGATGTGGGGATCCAACCCAGGGTCTTTTTGCATGCTAGGCAAGTATTCTACCTTTTTTTTTTTTTTCTTTTCTCGGAACCCGGGATTGACTGCAGGCCCTTGTGTTTGCAGTATTCTACTTTTCTGCTGCATCTCTAGCCCTGATTTTTCATATCTTTTAGGGTTTTTTTGTTTATTTGTTTTAGAATTGTCTCACCCTTTGGATGCTGTTGATTGATAGATGAAGGGAACATCTTAAAAGCGTCCTTCCAGCTTGGTTATAGTGGTACATACCTGTAATCTCAGAATTGTGGTAAGCTGAGGCAGAATTATCAAGGTTTGGGTTTGGTCTAGAATTCATAGTAAGACTCTGTCTTAAAGTACTCTTCCCCACCCCCCAAAATACTCTCCCTGCTTTTTTTTCCCCCTCCAAAAAGTTGTTGTATTAAGTGCTATAGAGTTGATGAAAGCTTATGCTGGACATAGGATACATTGATTAGGCATGAGCTGAAATGGTAGGGCAGTTAATTAAGATCATCTGAACACTCTTACTGTCCTCTGGGCTAGTAAATTTGGAGTGCTCGCAGTGGCAGTGATACAGTCTTGCTGGGTGACAGTTTCAGATTGTTCCTGATGTTAGTGAGATTGGTGATTAGTTCATACTGGGAACTCTTAAAAAACTGTCTTGGCAGAGGAAGTGATTTTTGGAGAAGTGCAGTGGTGTAGTGTATATCTCAGGGGGATTTTTTTTTTTTCCCAGATGTTAACAATGTTCATTCTTTATAAAGATTTGTGATTCTCTCACATGTCTTGTAGTGCGGTATTGTCTTTTCTAGACAAAAGAAGTAGACTTTAGGTAGGTGGAGAGGGTATAAATTGTTGCCTGTTAGGAACAATTTGGGAAGAATAGCCAAGGGAATTTCTCCTTAAATGGAGTGTAGTATCCTTAAATGATTCTCCTTGGCTTTGAGAAACTTCATTGCGAGCTTTATCTTTCATTTTGATTCATGACTGACCATTGTTACATCAAACATTTTTTCCTTTGAACAGAAGAGATTTTTTTTTTTTTTTTTTTTTTTTGGCGGAACTGGGGATTGAACTCATGCCCTTGTGCTTGCCAGGCAAGTGCTTATTCTACTGAGCCATCTCCCCAGCCCCTTAACTTTTCTTCCTTTTTTCTTTTTTTTTTTTTTAAATGTTTAGTCTAAAAAGGATCAGAATGAAACAGTGCTGAATTGTTCTTACACCAAAAGCTGAAGGCATAGTTTTAATACAGGTGAATACTTTGTATCTTTAGATTTGATTTTCCTTTAGAGATTTTGTTTCCTCTGTCTTAAATTTTCAGGCTCTTCATGACTATTTAAATAATTGGTAGCCAAATTTTCAAACGTGCTTCTCATACACTCCCCCCCCCCCTTAATGGGGATCAAACTTGAGTCCTTGTGCTTGCTAGGCAGGTGCTGAAGCCACTGAGCCGTCTCCCCAGCCCTCTAGACATGCTTCTAAATTCATAAAAATTTGCTAGCTCAGTTCATACTTCATTAGTATCAAAGGAATGTTATCTTGTGGTAGTAAACATTAGTACCTTGTATGAGGCTTTATTGTAGGTTTGCTTAAGTCAGCACTTCCTGTTGTGGCACTTGCTTGAAATACAAAGACAGATAAAGTTTGCCCCTTCAGAGTTTTTGGCCTCCTAGGTATGGGAAAGGATCCAGATATGTGAACTCAATTGCAGACATAGCAAGTGTTCTCATACATGTATAAATGCTAAACTGATAACCTTGTTCCTGACCACTATCCAGGCATAATTATTATTCCTTCTTTCACTGTCAGGTGTCTTGGTTTGGAAGACAATTAAATGTACTGTGGGACAGACAGTGGGGACACCGAAAAGAGACATTTAACTCACTAGCAGAGATCAGGGAATCCTTCCTGGAGGGAGATGCTTACCCAGGACCTTTACACTGAGCTATTCTCCCACTCTTTTTAAAATTTAGAGACAGGGTCTAAGTGGTTAAGTTGCCCAGGCAGGATTTATATTAGAGATCTTCGTGCCTCAGCCTTCCAGGTGCTGGGATTATAGGTGTGTGCCACCACACTGAGCTAGGAAGATGCTTTCTGAGATGAATCTTGAGGGTTAAGTAGGAAATAGGCCACTTACAGAGGGCATGAACAGGAGCTGATGAGAAGAAATAGAAAGGATAATATGTGAATGTAAGAATATTTGCAGGTGTGTGGGAATAGGATATAACTGTGAACCGTTAATTGGCACATAAAGTTTGTGGGATGTCATTGTGGCATTCAGGTAGAGAGATAGGCTGGGACCAGATTGTGTCCTGTTTATTCTGAATCCTTGTTCTGTGTATTTGTTGAATGAAGAATGACAGTGTACTAAGAATGGATTTGAGGAAAGCAGGGCTGGACTAGAAGATATTAGTGAAGAGGCTATTAATTTAGGTAAGGTAAGAAGGTGACTGTGGGACTTGGAGGGCAGGTGAGTGAGAAGATCATCTGGCTTTCTGAATTAGGTGATTATAGAAAGACTGCTGATGAAGGTAGGGAAAGAAGAAGGGGTCTGGAAGAGAAATGAACTAGAGTGGAAATGAATTACGATTAAACAGTTGAGGGAGTATGTTGTATAAAGCTGACATTTGAATCTGAAGCTTCGGAATAATAATGACTGGTGGTGGAGATCCTATCAGAATTGAAGTAGTAAGAGATAATGATGTTATGCAAAGAGAATGAAAAAATTGAGAAGAGAGAAGCTGAGGCTCATAGGAAACAGGAGTTTTGTTTTAGCATCTACTTGTCCAAACCTTGACTTTGTGCTAAGACCTTAAGTTCTTCCATAGAGTGCCTTCAGTAGCAGTCATGCTTAGTTGTTACAGTTGTTAAATGACTACAAGATTTTAGCGTGGAGTTGCCTCAGCAGCTGCAATAGGTAGAGAAAGTGCAAAGATAATGACAGACTTGTTTGTAGCTTAAAAGAGTTCAAAAACAACTTAAAAAGAGGGACTTGCAGTTGCTCACTAAGTTGCAGTGACTTAATTATAGATGATGCTAACATAAACAGGACATTGTGTGTCTTGTTTCACTTACCCCAATCACATATCAAATGGCAAAATACACTGTAGCAGTTAGCACAAGAATTTCACAAAACAGTGGCAAAAGAAGGGCCAGGCAAATAGCTCAGCGGATTAAAGCACCTGCAAGCAGGTGCAGAGGCCAAGATTCAATCCCAGGGCCTGCCGTGGCAGCTCTGCCCCCAGGGTGCGCTGAGATGGCAATTGAGACTGGGTGTGGTGGCGCCCACCTGTAATCCCAGCTCTTGGGAGGCTGTAAACAGGCGGATCACTATGAGTCCGATCTAGTAGTGAGACCTGAACACCCTGTAGACCCTTCCCTTAAATACAAAAACAAAACAAAAGAAAACCAGCAAAAGAGCACCACTTAAAAATACAGATACTAATCAAAATTTCTTGAGAAAGAAAATCTGAATGAAATTTTGTCTTATAACTTACTGTGCAACATATATTGTGTAGTTCAACAGTTTAACCATATTAACAGTATCAAATTTTTCTTTTTTTTTTGTGGTGCTGGGGATTGAACTTGGGCCCTTGCACTTGCCAGCCAGGTGCTTTTGCCATTGAGCTGTCTCCTCCAGCCCTAACAGTATCAAATTTAGTAGTCACCAGAATTGAAAATTCGTAGATCTCACGTAACATGTATATTAAGAAGGTATGTCCTTAGAATTGAGAATTAGACTATTTCTTGAAGTTGAAGTATACTGGGTGGAGGTGTCACTTTGCTTTCTGAAGTAATTCTTTTTCTTTTTAAAAAATTTTTTTCTTTACATTGGCAGGGACTGAATCCGGGCCTCCTTCATGCGTACTAGGCCAGTGCTCTCAAATAACTTTTAGCTATGGAAAAACTAAACTGTCACTAGCAGTATCTCATAGCAGAACTATGGCTTACAGTATCGATTGATGGATATAAATGGAAATTGCACATTGAAATCAGGATATTTCTGTTTGTTTGTCTTTAATGTTTCTTCAGGTGTTAGAAAACTACTCGGATGCTCCAATGACACCAAAACAGATTCTACAGGTCATAGAGGCAGAAGGATTAAAGGAAATGAGGTTTGTATTGCTCTTGCTGCTTATCATGAGAGTTTCGTAGGACATATATCTTGTAGTTATTTTGTGAGCTGAGTCTACCTATTTGTATATCTTGTGTGTTTGGTGGTGGTGTTGATCCTTGTGTGTTGTGATTCTTGTGTGTCCTCTGAGTGGAGAGTAGGAGTGGGCGAACATCCATTTCTTTACAGAGATTTTGACCTAGAGCTTTTTTTGTGTGTAAGGAATCTGGATACATTTTATCCTGTAGTCTGTTTTGCAAATTTCACTAATAGAGAAAGGGAGGGGCAAGTCCTGGTTGACCCTGTTGTGTCTGAAGTTCCCTTCTCTTTTTGCCTGTGGAATCCAAGAAGAGTGACTTTCCCCACATAAAACCTTTTGACTGCTCCCCTTTACCCACTGATTCTAGCCATTCATTATGTGAATTTGCTGTTTTGAGGTGATTTTTATTTTCTTACGATGTATCTTTCCCAGATAAGCAATAAATTAGCAACAAAGAAGAAATTGTAGGCATGAAAATCAGTGACTGTCCTTAATCTTCTTTCTGCTCAACCTTATCTCAACTTTTTTTTTTTTTTTTTAAATTTTAAATGAAGAAGGATGAAAATATAACACAGTCCCTTCTTGGGATTCATAGTAAACACTATGTTTTTGCTCATGAAGTGATAGTGCTTGAATTGACCTTTTTAGGGTTAAAAGGTCCCTAACTGCCAGTTTTAAGATCAAATATTTTTGAATTGATGTTTTGTGGGGAGAGAGAGAGAGAGAGAGAGAGAGAGAGAGAGAGAGAACATTAGGGTTGCCTAGATCACAGTTAATTCAGCTTGTGCACCTATGCAGTATGTAGTGTTATAATTGTATTTTTATGGGCTATTTCTCATCTTGCTGCTGTCTATATTACTACTTGACCACTATTCCTATTAAATGTAAATTAGTCCCTTTGGGACAGTTGAAATTGAGAACCTCTCCTTGTTTGCTTCTTGCTTTTGGAGGATTGTGAACTAGTCATGGTGACCATGAGGAGTGAGTAGTTTTGTTGGTTTTAGACTGAGGGATAATGTGTAGGAGTCACAGAAGGACTGTGCCAGTATGCTGTCCCCCTGCACACAGAGATGCTAGCACACCCACTTGCTGCTCCAGATTCAGCACCAGAGTGCCTTTAGAGATCAGGTGTTTTTGGTTTTTTTTGAAACATCCAATGTATTCTAAAGCAGAATAAAAGGTTCTTTTTTTTTTTAAATGACTTTTTTTGTACTCAGAATTTATTTTTAAATTCTTTAATTTAATCAGTGGGTAAATCCAGAATCATTCTGTAAATTAAGACCTCTGTTTCTGAAAAATACTAAGAGGCTTTGCCTAAGACATTTGTATATATATTTTTAACATGTAAGATAGGGTAAAGAGGATAGAGAAAGATACACAGGTAAATCCTAGCATTAATGTATTAGTGGACATCTATTTTTTGACAGCTTTTCTGTTTTAAGACTCTGTAGTCTCTCACTAAATTGTCAGTATTTTGTGACCTGTTGTGGCAGGGACTATAAAACAACTTAATACACCTTTTTTTTTAAGCTTAATATTTTAGCATTGCTGCATATCAAATCTGTTTAACTTTTCTTTTTGCATTCAAATGTGGATGATTGTTCCTGGATAGATGTCAAATAAAACACAGACACCTTTCTTCCCAGTAGAGAAAAGGGAAATGCAATTCTGTTTCTTTTGTGTGTTTATTAGAAAATATTTAACTGCACAAATAAAAGATGTGTTTGTTTTATTGGAATGTCATTGATTCTGTGGTCTTTGTGTTGATAGTGTTATGTGGCAGTTCCTGAGCGTGATATGTAGGTTGAAATGTAGAGTAGGAAACTCAGTTTTGTTTTTAATAGTAAAATTGTATTAAAATATAAATGTTTAACTTTTACTAAAATGTAGCTTGAAAAAATTGTGTGGTTTAAACATTTCTCTCGGAAATTTGATTAATTTGGTTAGCAAACATTAGGAATAGATTTCAGGTATATCACATATGTTGCTTCAGACTTTTTAGTATGATACATGTGAATTTTAGCTGGTTACTCATTTACTACTTTCACAGTATAATTGTCATGGGATATATATTTTTTTTTCTTCAAGATTTATTGCTTTATACCGTGATTTAAAAACAAGTGGGAAGGATAGTCTTTGCTAAATAGTGGTGTATCGATTTGTGTGACCTCATTCATTTTCTTGTGTTTTACAGTGGCACATCCCCTCTTGCGTGCCTCAATGCCATGTTACATTCCAATTCAAGAGGAGGAGAAGGACTGTTTTATAAATTACCTGGTCGAATCAGCCTTTTTACACTGAAGGTAAATAATACATACTCTTGTTTTAGTTCATTGTTTCTCAAGCTTTTGGTGGCATCCAGCACCTGAGGCAGAAGGATCACCAAGAGTTTGAGGCCAATATGGAGCTACATAGTGAACTCAAGGTCAGCCTGAACTACATAGCAAGAGCCTGTCATAGAAAACCAGCTTGGTGGGGCCAGGGATGTAGCTCAGTGACATAAGTACCTGCCTGATAAGCACAAGGTCCCAAGTTCGATCCCTGGTATTAAAAAAAACAACAACACCTAGTTGAGTAAGTCTAGAATGGTGCTCATGAATTTGTTTTTCTAATAAGTAGGTGGCACTGAGTTGATTTAATCCTAAATGATGCTCTTGTGATTAGAATACTAGGAATTATAAACTCCTATCAGCTATTATTTCTGTGTTCAGGTTTGCTTTTTTTTTCTTTTGGTACTGGCAGTTGGACTCTTGACCTTGCACTTGCCAGGCAGGTACTATGCTGCTGAGCTGTATGCATAGCCCTGAGTTCAGTTTTATTTATCTTTGTCTGTGTAGATTATATGCAGTTGAAAATAAGTTTGGGGGGGCCAGGGAGATGGCTCAGTAGAATAAGCGCTTTCCTGGCAAGTGCACGGGCCTGAGTTCAATCCTGGTTCCGCCAAAAAAAAAAAAAGAAAATAAGTTTGGATGAAAATGATTGCAAATGTGCCTTAATTAAGATTTTGTTTGTAATAATTTTGTGAGGGTTACATTATTGGCCAGCTAAAGTAATACCTACTGTATGGAAAATGTAGTGGTACCTAGGTTCACAAACTTAATTTTATGATTTTGAGGAAGAAGACCATGTTTATATTTGGGGAAGATGGCTGTGGTAGTGTTTGTCACCTAATGTGGAGTTTGTGAATGGAAACAAAATTACGTCAAATGTTTTTGCTTGAGAACTGAGTTGTTTGTGAACAGAAGCATTTGTAAACCAAGGTATTACACTAACTGAAATATGACCATTAGTATTGAGCCACTGATTACAGAGGAAAAGAAAGAATTCATAATAAACTTTACATAGGGCTGACATGAACAAACATTTTTTAAGCCATTTTTGATGTGTATGGTTATCATTTGGATCATAAGCTTGCATACTTTTTCTGTAAATTACTAGAAAATATTGGGGCTGGTGAGATGGCTCAGTGGTCTAAAGCACCTACTTAGAACAAGCTAATCTAAGCAAAGCACAAGGACCACGGGTTCAATCCCCCAGCACCACATGCCAGCCAGCCCCGCCCCCTGGTGG